TTTTTTTTTTTTTTTTTCCTGAGACGGAGTTTTGCTCTTGTTGCCCAGGCCTGAGTGCAATGGCACGATATCAACTCACCACAAGCTCCACCTCCCAGGTTCAAGTGATTCTCCTGCCTCAGCCTCTGAGTAGCTGGGATTACAGGCATGCGCCACCACACCCAGCTAATTTTTGTATTTTTAGTAGAGATGGGGTTTCAACATGTTGGCCAGAGTGGTCTCAATCTCCTGACCTCTTGATCTGCCTGCCTTGGCCTCCCAGAGTGCTGGGATTACAGGCGTGAGCCACTGCACCTGGACTGTTGCTTTCTATTTTTTGATAATATCCATCCTGATGATTGTGAAGTAGTATCTCATTGTGGTTTTGATTTGCATTTCCCTGGTGATTAGTAATGTTGAGCATCTTTGCATGTGCTTATTGGCCATTTATATATTTTCTTTCTTTCTTTATTTTTATTTATTTACTGATTTATTTATTTTTTGAGATGGAGTCTCCCTCTGTCGCCCAGGCTGGAGTACAGTGGCATGATCTCAGCTCACTGCAACTTCCACCTCCCGGGTTCAAGCGCTTCTCCTGCCTCAGCCTCCTGAGTAGCTGAGATTACAGGGGCCTACCACCACACCCAGCTAATTTTTGTGTTTTAGTAGAGAGGGGGTTTTGCCATGTTGGCCAGGCTGGTCTCGAACTCCTGACTTCAAGTGATCTATCCGCCTTGGCCTCTCAAAGCGCTGGGATTACAGGCGTGAGCCATGGCTCCTGGCCCGCCACTTATATATTTTCTTTGGAGAAATGTCTATTCAAGTCTTTTGCCACATTATCGAATTGTATTGTTTTGTTTTTTTGTTATTGAGTTGAAGGAATTTCTAAAATATTCTGGATATTAACCCCATAGCAGATACATCACATGCAAATATTTTATCTTATTCTGTGGGTTGCTTTTTTACTATATTGATACTATCCTTTGATGCACTAAAGTTTTACATTTTGAGGTGGTCTAATTTATCTAATTTTTTTTAATTGCCTGTGCTTTTGGTGCCATATCCAAGAAGTCGTTGCCAAGTTCAGTGCCAAGAAACTTTTCCAATATGTTTTCTTCTACGAGTTTTATAGTTTTAGGTCTTACATTCAGGTCACAGATCCATTTTGAGTTCTTGGTTGTATATGGTACAAGGTAAGGACCCAACTTCATTCTTTTGCATGTGGATACCCAGTTTTCTCAACACCGTTTGTTGAAAAGACTGTTCTTTCCCCCACTGAATGGTCTTGCACCCTCGTCAAAACTCATTTGACCATATATTTGAAAACTTATTTCTAGGCTCTCTATTCTATTCCATTGGTTTATATGTCTAGCTTTATGCCTATACCTCACTATTTTGCCAAGTGTAGCTTTATAGTAAGTTTGAAAGTTGTGAAGCATGAGACCTCCAACTTTGTTCTTTTTCAAGATTGTTTTGGCTGCTCAGGATCTGATATTTTGTTATGCGTTTGTAAAGGGGGGCAGACTTTTTTCCCCAGCATGCTGAAAGTTCCTTCCTTTTTTTTCAGTTATTTGTTTTTTGAGACGGAGTCTTGCTCTGTCACCCAGGCTGGAGTGCAGTGGCGTGATCTCGGCTCACTGCAAGCTCCGCCTTCTGCATTCACACCATACTTCTGCCTCAGCCTCCTGAGTAGCTGGGACTACAGGAACCCGCCACCACACCCGGCTAATTTTTTGTATTTTTAGTAGAGATGGGGTTTCACCGTGTTAGCCAGGATGGTCTCGATCTCCTGACCTCGTGGTCTGCCCGCCTTGGCCTCCCAAAGTGCTGGGATTACAGGCGTGAGCCACTGCGCCTGGCCAAGTTCCGTCATTTTACTAGTGCCTGAGAACCAGTCACTAAAGTGGGAGTTCTGATATTAGAAGCTACGTCTCTCGGTTTGCAGTTAAGTTTTGTCTTCCCACATTGCCACACAGAGTAGAATTTGTTTTTCCTAAGTCATAGGGTATAAAGGAAAGATCTTCACAAATACACATGCAGTCACTTTTCCTGGTATCTGCATCTCTGATTTCTAATTGGTTAAAATCTCCTCTTGGTAAACATAGTTGTTAAAAAAAAAATTAACTACTACTAATTTTACCTGAGAAAACATTGGTTCTCATGCAGTGATCCTGATATCTGTATGATAAATTGACCTTAAGATAAATCTAACACAACTAATATTGTGGAGTGGGACCCACTTGATGCTTTATTGTTTGAATCATTGATGCCAAAATAGTAGGATAGTTATACCACAGTTCTGGTAATACTTATCACCTGGCCTTAACTCCCCAGTCTGATCATTAATAGGAGAACTCAGGGAATGCTATTTGAATATCTGCTATGTGGAATGGAAAGAAAAGTTCTACTCAGACCCATTAATTCTTGCTTCCCTTTTAGGTAAAGATTTGTCACTCTGTTACAGGATTATTTGATTACTTTGTAAGTCAGCATCAACCTTCCTTTTTTTTTTTTTTTGAGACAGAGTCTCGGTCTGTCGCCCAGGCTGGAGTGCAATGGCATGATCTCAGCTCACTGCAAACTCTGTCTCCTGGGTTCAAGTCATTCTCATGACTTGTTATGCATTTGTAACAAGCCTCCTGAGTAGCTGGGATTATAGGCATCCACCACCACGCCCGGCTAATTTTTATGCTTTTAGTAGAGGTAAATTTTCACCATGTTGGCCAGGCTAGCCTCGAACTCCTGACCTCAAATGATCCATCTGCCTCGGCCTCCCAAAGTGCTGGGATTACAGGCGTGAGCCACCACACTTGGCCTGCATCAATCTTTATGTTAAAATTTTCCCACTTCCATTCGTGATATAATGCTTTCTGCTTTCATGTAGATACTCTGCTGCACCCCTTCAATAGCAATCCTCTTAATGTGCTTTTGGCAATAAAACTAATTTTAAAACTGTAGTTGAAACAGATTATAAATTACAGTTTTCATGATAGTGTAGACTTAATCCACCTTAAATAGGATTTTAGCAAATTAAAAGGAAACTGCCTTTAAATTGCCATATTTTAAGCTAGAAGGAGGATACTGAACATTCCCAACACAAAGAAATGACAGATGTTTGAGACAATGAATATGCTGATTACCCTGATCTGATCACTATGCATTATATGTATTGAAACATCCCTATATAGCCCATGAATATGTACAATTATTATTTGTCAATTTAAAAATGATTTTTTTGTTTTTTGAGACAGAGGCTTGCTCTGTCACCCAGGCTGGAGTACAGTGGTACGATCTCGGCTCACTGCAACCTCCGCCTCCTGGGTTCAAGCAGTTCTCCCTGCCTCAGCCTCTCAAGTAGCTGGGATTACAGATGCCTGCTACCACGCCTGGCTAATTTTTGAATTTTTTAGTAGAGACGGGGTTTTGCCATGTTGGCCAGGCTGGTCTTGAACTCTTGACTTCAGGTGATCCGCCCACCTTGGCCTCCCAAAGTGCTGGGATAACAGGTGTAAGCCACGACGCCCGGCCTAATTTTTTTTTTTTTTTAATGGAGTCTTGCTCTGTCACCCAGGCTGGAGTGCAGTGGTACGATCTCGGCTCACTACAATCTCCGCCTCCCAGATTCAAGCCATTCTCCTGCTTCAGCCTCCTGAGTAGCTGGGATTACAAGCATGTGCCACCACGGCCAGCTAATTTTTCTATTTTTAGTAGAGACGAGGTTTCACCATGTTGGTCGGGCTGGTCTCGAACTCCTGACATTGTGATCTGCCTGCCTTGGGCTCCCAAAGTGATGGGATTACAGGCGTGAGCCACTGCGCCTGGCCAAAGAATTTTTTTAATTGCTGTATTTTAAAAACTTTTTAAAGAGGAGAAAAAGTGCTGAGAAGCAAAGTACTTAAGCCAAGTTTACTCTAATCAAATATTTTCCTTGACAAAGAAGAAATTTAAGGTGTGGGCTGGGCACGGTGGCTCAGGCCTGTAATCCCAGCACTTTAGGAGGCCAAGGTGGCTGGATAACCTGAGGTCAGGAGTTCGAGAGCAGCATGGGCAACATGGCGAAACCCCGTCTCTACTAAAAATAAAAAAAAATTTCCTCGGCGAGGTGGCATGTGCCTGTAATCCCAGCTACTCAGGAGGTAGAGGCAGGAGGACCGCTTGAACCCAGGAGGCGGAGGTTGCAGTGAGCTGAGATGGTGCTACTACACTCCAGCCCTCTACCACTGCACTCCAGCCTGGGCAACAGAATGAGACTCCATCTAAAAAGAAACACAAAGAAATTTAGGATGTGATACACAAAAATCTTAGTAGCTACACTGAGTAATGTAAGAATCAATACTTTCTCATTTAAAACTGAGTAACCCTCAGAATTGTTCAATGATTACCATTTTGTTTCTCAGATATCCCAATGTCTGTGGGTATAATCGATCCTAGGGCTAATCCAACTCAACTCAATACAGTGGAGTTCCTGTGGGACCCTGCAAAGAGGACATCTGTGTTTATTCAGGTAAGGCGCTGCAAATAAGCTTCCAGTTTTGAAGAGCATCTCTTACTACCAGTTTATTTCTTAAAGGACAAAACATGTTAACTTTGAAATCTTTACAGGGTTCTAGCCTGACTGTCAAGCCCAGGCTCTTTAACCTGTGCCTGAGAGCATTGAGGAGTTTCTGAATTGCTCTTCTAATACCCCAATTTATTTATTTGTGTCTCCCAAAATTGCTTGGTAATGGCTGCATAATATTTCATTCTTTGGTTGTACCATAATTTACATAACAATTATTTGGCATTTAGATCAGCATAATTTTTTTTTTGAGACAGGGTCTCGGCTCTGTCTCCCAATCTGGAGTGCAGTGGTGCAATCTCAGCTCACTGCAACCGCCGCCTTCCAGTTCAAGCGATTCTCTTGCCTCAGCCTCACCAGTAGCTGGGACTAGAGGCACATGTCACCATGCCTGGCTAATTTTTGTATTTTTGGTAGAGGTTTCACCATGCTGGCCAGGCTGGTCTTGAACTCCTGACCTCAGGTGATCCGCCCACCTTGGCCTCCCAAAGTGCTGGGATTATAGGTGTGAGCCACCATGCCCGGCCTTGATTGGCCTGATTTTTTTACTATTATCTGTAATGTTATTTTGAACATCTTTATACTTAAAATTTGATTTGCGTATCTGATTATGTTCTTTGGGTAGAGGCCTTGAAAATCCTTATTTGTGATAATTATAGGCCGGGCGCGGTGGCTCAAGCCTGTAATCCCAGCATTTTGGGAGGCCGAGATGGGCAGATCACGAGGTCAGGAGATCGAGACCATCCTGGCTAACACGGTGAAACCCCGTCTCTACTAAAAAAA